GTCAGCCACAGCCTCCTCATCGCAGCCTCCACCAACGATCCGACTTTACCCCCCTTTTTTTGCAACTCCAAGAGCTATTTTAAATGTGTGTTTAGGTTGTGCTCGCGCCATTCAATATTAAACATTTCCCCTTATTACTTAAAGGCTGACTTTATTTTCTCTCAAAGCTGTGATTCCAAAAACAGCTGTCCAGACACCACAAGAAAGGGCCTTAAGTCACTGGAAGATGTAGATACCACCGCTGGACTCCAAAAGAAAAATATCTACTTTTCATTACACCATACCGTACCTTACAAAACAAATCACACAGAACATCAACATCCTCTTGGCGTCGGAGCGTTGTAGATTCAGTTTCTGCACTTCAATGAGTTTTTGGGCCATGCTGAACTGAGACCCTTCATGACTCTGGCTTCAGTCTATGGGTCCAGGTCAACGTCCCGCCTCAGCAGCACTGTAAGCAGATATTTACGTTCACACCAGCGGCGCAACGGCCAACAGAAGCTGATTGCAAGTGGTGTTTGTTTCCAATGAAAGCACGTTAATTCGGGCTTGGCCGCAGTGTAAACTACCTTGGCGTTTTACAGATGTCGCCTGTTGAAGTGAATCACTGTACCTGCCTGTTTGCCCCGCTGGGCCTTTCTGATGCCTCGCCAGAGAGAGTACACAACACGAGCCAAAAGGGGCTATTAATAAACCCTTCCTTTTCTAATACTGCAATACCTCCACGTGTGTAATGTCTGCGCCGGGCTAATTTTGTCACGTCATTTTTAGCCTTCGGAGAGAGACGAATACAGACAGCCTCAGTCTGAGTTAATTTTAACTCATCTTAGGTATCATTATCCCCAGATATCTTTCCAGAATTGATTTTCTTTCTGCGAAGTTCATCTGATGTGACAAAGCGAGGAAGGTAGATATTTTATACACACTGTTAATAGCATGTATGATTTTAAAGCATGTTCTAACACATGATACCTCTATTATGTTTCTGTGAGAGCTTGTGATAACAACGCAAGTCCATTTGAAGGTGTGTGGTCCTGAGTGGTAGAGAGAGAAAGTGTCTGGCAGGGTGGGCCATCAACCACAGTCCTCAGGGCAGACCTTGGCCAGAACCCCGAGTATGGCCAGGCTCTTCAACTCCGCACACACACACACACTTACAAGTACAGCAAGTGTAGTATCCGGCCACCAGCGGAGACCCAGTAATGAATGAAATATTATATTCAACATCATATTCCAGCATTTAATATTATTACCGTCACATAAAAGCAAAGAGCACATATATTACAAATGTGTCTGCGCAGCAAAATGATAACCTTTTCAAACTGGCAGTACCTCCCTTAAGTGCTTTTTTATTTTTTGCATAGAACTCTCTCCACTGCTTCAATGCATACACATTATGATATTATGTTTAATCTATTAAAACATTCACATAAACTTCAAATCGTAGGCTCTTCTAAAGATATAATTAGAAAAATCCATCCAATCAGGCCAGAACAAATTCAATAAATACCTTTTTAACCAAACTGTTTATTTTCCAAATGTTCCAAAAACCTTTTATAACTAAATCTAAACCTTTTATTTGCATGATTTCTGGATAGGGGTTAATTGACTTGAATCTTCAGACTTGCGTATCGACACAAGGAGAAGATGTGGTCCAGGTTTCAGTGATGGAAACACTTTATTGTGGTTTTCTTAAGGTAGGTGAACCGCTGACCTGACCCAAACGTTGGACACGTAAAACAACAGTTGGCCGACTTTAACTAAACTTTGTTACCGTATCTGGGGAAAACATAATCCATTCCTGGCAATTTCAATCCTTGCAGTTGTTAAAGAATTCATGCAGAGATATCTGAGACTGCAACATCATCATAGTTCAGATTTTCGCCATCAAGGTTGTTTATCACATGCCATGCCACCCAAGAAGTTATGTTTCCTGGCTTAGGAGCGGAGTTTGACATTTGTGCATTATTTTTTTCATTCAGTATTTCAGATTCAATCACGATGTGCAAATTATACTCCCATCAAACTGCAAATGTAATTTACTGTGGCTCAGCAGAACTCGTTGCACTCTGTCCTAAAGTTGAACGCTTCTGACAGCAAAGAATCCACTCGCAAAGACCTAAAAAATGGTTACATATAACATGAAATAACATGAAATATTATTCTTGGAGTACTGAGTACCGAACTAATTCTTAGTACAGTTTGTCTTTGCACTGGTGGGCCAAAACATATTCCGGAAGCATTGTTCAGAAAGCATCACGCTAAACTGCATTCATGACATGATCGATATAAATCTGTGAATGGAAATAGGTACAGTGTATGATCTGGGGGATTCAGTGTGTGTGCAGCATTTGAGAAGACTTTCCCTAAAGAAAACGTTTTAACGTGCGCTGCAACTCAAGAGCCATGTTCTTATTTTAGACAGCAAATATTTACAAAGCAACAAACCAAATCAAATGTTCACTGCACAAAAATAAGGTAGGTGTCAAAGACTTGTGGAGATGCTGTTGTGTAGAATTCGGGGGGGATTGTTTGTATTTCAAGTTTGACATTTGTATTCCCTAACAGCACATTAAAGGTGGGGTAGGTAAGTTTCAGAAACCGGCTCGAGATACACTTTTTGTTATATTCCATGGAATGCTCTTAACATCCCGATAGCAATGAATATCTTAAGTGCTTTGACAAAAAATCCATAAAAAAAAGTCATCTGTGGAAACCGTAATACTGTAAAAAGTACATCCAATCCGTTTAGCCGGCCCGGCTAAACGGATTGGATTGCCGCCCTGTCCGTCAGCCTTCCATCTCGTGCACGCACAAATGTATCTCGTGCCCTCATTGGGTGTGCATTGCAGCAGTACTTCAATGACTCGCCAGCAACAGGCGGCCACTTTCACCAGTCTGCTGACATCATGTGCGCGTTCATGTGTGTTGGAGGAGGTGCTCTGTAAGGAAGTCTGAAGGAAGGGGCGGATTCTTTTCGGCTGTGTACTTTCAAATTTTAGTGCACTCGAGCCGGTTTCTGAAACTTACCTACCCCACCTTTAAGGTAATTAAGTTTTAAATAAAGGTTTTATTGCTCAATAATAAAACACATTTAGTTTCAGCATTTAAACAGATGATTTACACACATGTTTCATTATTTGTATTTTTAGCTCTCATTTTATACTGACTAGTTAGTAATTATTTCATGACTTCACTTGGATGTAACACAATAACATGTATCATTGATGTAATGTAACGTTTGCAAAACAATTACTGTAACATTTTTTAATTTTAAGACAAATTGTGCTTATATAAATGCTCAATTCATGTACAAATTACCCCCTAAACATGTCATTAAACTGTACATTTTCATTATGTAACAGTTTAAAAATTATTTATAATTTTTTTTTCATCAGCTACCTTTTCTGATATTTAGTTTTGAAAAAGTGTGGGATATATATCTGTGATTTCTGCTATTACCTCAATGCATTACAAGTATAACTTAGTTTACTTATGGAGCTCACAGCAATACAGATATGCATTTTTAAAAATCAGCAGCACCACAAATACTTTACAAAGCACAGTTTCACTGACTCCCTGTTTAATAGAAATGAGTTACTATGAGTTACTTAATTAGATATCTCAAAGCACCTGGCACATACACATGGCTTTTTAAATTCCTATACCCCAGGCTGTGATTAAACTACAATGACATATTTATGCAAATGACAGTTTAAAGGTAGTTTCAGTTGGCAATAACAAAGAGCACAAGGCATTGGTCTTATATGTACTGCGTAGTACATGCCCACTGGCCTGTGGCACAGGTTGACTGATATACTTTCAAACCTGACTGCACTCCCAAGTCCATTCCTCACATTCTTCTGCTTCTCTACTAACACCGTCTGTGTTTTTGATCTGTCGAAACAAACACCTGATGGGCGCTGATCAAACACGGGCCGTGATGTGCAAGGCTGTTTATTGCATGTGCGTGTGTGGGAATCTGTGTGTGTGATGATTCACCGATGATTGCCGTGAGCTGGCTGTGCCGCACTACATGTTGGCACGGCCATTCTTGCAGGGCGTCCGTGTTCAAGTGTGTGTTTCTCTCCGGGTGTTAGCGAGACTATGAGAAGGCATCTCTTTCACATGGGGAGACAGGTGGCCACGATTTATGGCCTGTTACAGGAATCGCCCACGTCTGCCGCTTCTATGAGAGCCAATTAAAGGTCAGTACGGACTTGCATACATACACACAGTTATTACAGTAGTGACACTGTAGTTACATGAAGTTAGTGACAGCAATATGAAAGTGTGAAACAGGAGGAAAAAGCATCAACAAAGTGACAGCTCGCACACAGTTCTCTGTAAATAAGCACACCACCCCCGCGTTCTCCTCACACACACTCACCCAGCCTCTCTGTCTCTATTTTTCCCCATTCTCTCTGCTGCACATGTATACACAGTCACACACCCAGTCTCACACCGCGAGCCAGCCAGCTATTCGCTCCTCACTCACACCCTCAAGTCTTACCAAGCTCAGCTCTCCCTGCTCAGAGGCAGACAGGAGCAACACAGCAGCCTGTTAAAGGAGTTGAAGAGAAGGAGCAGTGGAGTCAGGGAGAGAGACATAGAGAAGAAAGAGGGAGAGGGGGATGAAAGAGTGAAGGGAGAGCCTAGCAGAGAGAGCACTGTTCTCCATATGCTGAGGACTTATGGGCGGTTGAACAAGCTGCCCCCACTGAAGCCTCCTGACTCATGGGAGCGTCAGCCCCCGATCCCCCAGAGAACCTGCAAACGCTGCCGAACCACGCGTAACAGAGAAGGAGGGGAGAAAAAAAGTCAGTGGAGAGGGAAGAAAGCCACAACGGTAGGCTGTCCCACTCAACTGCCGTGCCGTGATGACGTCAGAGGACATGTGACCCGGGCTCTCCAGTGACGGCACATGGAGGGCAGGAAAGAGACGAGTTTTAAAGCTGGTGCCTTTTGGGTTGTGTGAGGGCTCTTGCTCGCTTCCCAAACAACCACAGAACCACAGACGTGCGGCTCGGGGTTGGTGTTTGAGGGCGACCCGGAGTGTAAATGGTTAATCGTCGCGGGCCAGCACCAGTCACAAGGACGGCGCTAAGCGAGTAAGTACGTTCCAACCACACTCGCCAAGCAAGCAAGTCCGACACCATCTGATCTATCCGCAAAGACGATATTTGCCTCTGCAATTTTTTTTTTTTTGCTCTATAAAACCAGAACCTGGTTGTTACTTGTGGTCATCTAAATAGTTGATACGTAAAAGCATGTCTTGTGGATGATTTTTCCATTTTTTTTCTTCATGACACGCTGCGTGCTCTTGGTTTAGGACGTGTCAAGGGTCACGGAAACCACAGAGGAACAAAAGTGGGGCTTGCTGCGACCAGAAGCAGCTATGGCATCTAACAGCCTCTTCAGCACAGTGACACCATGTCAACAAAACTTCTTCTGGGGTGAGTACCGCTTCTCTGCTTGCTGTTGTGTCTGGAGTTGGGTTATTTGGAATTGGGTGATGGGGAGGACTTGGGGTCAGGTGTTGAGGTTTGGATTGAGGAATTAAGGGGTTTTGGGTAAAGAGGGTAACGACATTGGATTTGATCCAGATGCGGGGGTATGGGAGGGGGATCAGCTGAGGTCATTGAGGACCCTGCTATCAAGGTCCAAGCTTTATGTGGTGGAGGAACGACCCAACTATCATCAAGACTTTCTGTGGTGCGCAAATACAAAAAAACAACAACCAAAAAACCTCTATTCATTTAGAGATTCCAGTATTTACTCTACCCTATGTTTATAAATATTCCTCGAACAGGAAGATGACATGTTTGTGCAACATACCCTTAGATTTACAAAGCGATGCCATTGCGGAACCAAAAACAAAAGCGCGGGTGATATTTTTGACAAACGTAAACAGACGCCTCACAAGAGAGTTTACAGTCGAGCATTGAAACAAGATGTGGGGATCACTGGATTGTGTGTGTTGGGTGTCTGTGTTGTTCATGGGAAAGAAGTATTGATCAGAATGCCAAGAAAGGTCTGTAATCGCTTCCTGAAATTGTTCCGTCGGGCTGCTGTCATTAATTAATCAGGGTGGATTTCTGCAGCCTCCAGAGAGCATTTAATCGACAGACATGAATCCACTTAGAACAAGAAGTTGCTCCATGTCGACTTCCATGATATGAATTTGTAATTAAAGTGCTGGAATAATTAATATGAAATTGAAACAATCAATTAATTTAATTGACTTATTGCTTCACCGCAAATTCCTGAAACGATTATATATAATTTTGTGTGAATAATTAACTCCTTAATTGTACTTTTTCAAAGAGTTGCAAAATTCAATTTGTTCATTTGAATGCATGTCATTTGTTCAATCATATATTCAAGATCCTGCTTATATCCTAAAGAAGATCTATAGAAAATAAGACCCCAAAAAGTCAAGAGCTGTGAACAGTAGCAGTGTAAATCATATGATTTCCGAAAACCTGTGAAGGCCAACTCGCATGCTGCAGTTTGTGGCCTCTGTTTAGGGTTTACTATATTCTATTGTGACAGCTTCTTTACACAATCTAATTTAATCTGCAAAATAAATGATGTCTTTAGGTTTGCCAGATGAATTTTGAAATTTAAAACAAACATTTCCATTCCTGTGCGACACGAAGAATAGACATTGGAATAGCCCCCCCCCCTTTCCTCCTCTCTCTTCTCCGCTCCGGTCCATAGCCTCCGCTCCTCTGTCCAAATCAAATGTTTAAAAGATGTTTTTAAGAAGTCGCTCCGTGGTCAGACACAGCTGTTGGAGGCTCCGCACAGAAGCAGGGTGGCTCCTAATACACTCTGAAAGCCGGGAGAGAGTGAGCGTCTTCCACCAATCACCACCACCTATTACCATGTTAACCCCTGACCCCTCGGTGTGTCTCTGGGGTCGCAGCGAGAGGAGAGGAGCGGGGCGCCGCAGGAAATTGAAAGCATGCTGTAACAGAGGCAGAAAGGAGCAGATGTGTACAGATGTTCAGGTGGAGGGACTCGGAGGACAGATAATCACTGATCAGGTCTCTGGTATAAAGCATTGTGGCTTGATATTGCGCTGCGGCTCATTGATGTTGCCCCTGTTTATGAACATCTGGGCAGTAAATCTGTCAGTGCAACCACAAAAAGCCCCCTTGACAGCCTAATGTAATTTTGTAAGACCACCGGCGTTTTTCTGTTGTATTCATGATGTAAAATAAATAAAAGTAGTGTACTGTGTTGTATCAGAACCGGCAAGATTAGGATTGGCGCTGTACATTTTTTTTTTTTTGGTTAGGACAAAAAGAGTGTGGATGAAGTTTGATTTTGAGTAGTCGTGAAACTGACATAAAGTGATATAAAAAGTGCTAAATAGATCTTAGATTTTAATACATATATTTATTTATGTTAATATTGATTTTTAGTTACAAAGATTAATTGTTAATTCTTCACAACTTGTCGGAAAAGATACACAATATAACTGAGCTAAAGTCTCGCCTTCTGTTCACTTTATCCTGTCCTCTTGTTACCATGTTCACATTATTTTGTCCGGCGTCAGCCCTTTTTATGGGAACAAAATATGTTTGTGTTAGTTAGAAAGCCACATTACTCCATCCCGTACTTAGAATTGTATTAAAGGACATTTTTAATTTAGGACTGAGTGTACATTCCCAGCGATAAATTGAGCCGACTTGAGGGAGAGGGCAAATATTCCAAATTGAGAAAAAGGGGGCTCATTAAAATTTGTCTTGGCATTTACATCAAGCTTTTTTTCATCTTAATTGCCTCCAATACATTTTTTATAACTCCTCAGACTGGCAGATGAGATGAGGAGGGCAGAATAATGTTCAACATGTGTGGCACCCACTCAACCACCATGCCTCTCTGGGGAACATTTAAGGGCCCATTTTCTCTATTACAAACTTAATTACATATAGACAATTAAGTCATGGGAGCAATTATCGTTCTGTAAAGTTGTGCAGTCGCAGTGGTGAAGAAGAAAAAAAGTGCTTACACAGACGGACCCAAATCAACACGATCAAAAGGAAAGCGGGCCGATGTGGGTAAATATCTGAAGACTCCAGGCGGAAAACTTTCCCCAAAGAAAATCTCAGATCATTTGCAGGGAAACCGTATATGTATTTGAGAAAGGCAGCTTCTGTTGCATAAGTGTTGCCTTAGATCTAACCACATGCCTGCTTCTTGGAGACATCTTAAAAGTGAACCAGACATCCTCCTCCCCTCATCCAGGGAGAGACGTGAAGCCCACTCATCAATAGGTAATTTGAAAAAGCCAGGGGGAAAAATCTGAGCGCTTCACTGGCTGCTACTGTGCAGAGGAGACTCTTCCCTTAACTCCAGGCTCAAAGGAACTCTATTTAGCATCGCTTAATTGTACCTCAGAGGCAAACATGTTATTTAATCCCGCCAGGGTCATATTGATGGAGTAAAATGGTGCTGTGTGTGTTTGCATGCTGCGCTAGCTATTAGGACTTATTAGCGCTGGAAATTCACATTAGTCTGCATAATTCCTGAGGGTAATCAGACTGTTAATGTGATCATTGTTTAATCAAAGATAGATTAATTGCTCTGCATTTTCACTCATAGGTATTAACAGTGAATGGTGGGTTGATTATGGCTCTAAATAGGCTGTAGGCACTTATTAGGTCCAAATTAGAGCGTCATGGTAGCACATTAACCTGTGATTTGAACAGGCTGGGAAAAGTATTTTCCCCCTGTTGATGTTTAAGAAACTTAGTTTTTTGTTCATTTGTAAAGGTATTTGCATGGTCATAGAGCATATTCAATCTGAAACACTATCTGAAGTCTATAGAAATGTGACGCCTTTCCCCAGAAAACAAAAGAAACCCTGATTGCGAGCCACTTTTTTTCTGTAGTATCAACTTTGTCGTCACATCACGAACAACCCTGAACAATATCTGCCTGCTTCTCCTGGTTCCAAAGGAAGCACTGTGGAGTTGTAGAAACATAGAAGAAAGACAGACTTACTGCAGAGAGATCACATTCAATCCTGTATTATGGAGACTGCAACAACAAACCGAGAGTTCAGTGTAAATACTCACAAGGCCCTGTGTATTATCCCTTCTTTTATCCCCATATTCAGTAGCTTGGGGGCTAATTACACTGTTATGATAAGGCAACCTGCCAATTGACTGTGCTTAGCGTAGCTTTCAGCCTGTTTAAAGTGTTGATAACAGATTCCAAAACAATTTTCCGATGGAGCGATAAAGCCTATCTGTTAAAGGTTATAAGTGCTAACACCTCTGCTTTTTATCACATAAATCAATGTGAACGTTTAATATCTTTGCCTTGTTAACTACCTGCCAATTGTGTGTGTGTGCTTTACTGGTTGCTCTGCAAGCTTATGCTACAGAACGCAATGCAATTACCAGGTAGTTTAATGCCAATGTTTTAGCCAGCGAGGCTTTTAATGCAGCACTGTGCTATTTTCACACTTAACAAGATCCTACAGCCCCTCATCCATTTCAATTGCATCATGCTGGGCGAATTACCGTTATCCGATATAAGCCCTCAGAGAGGAAGTAACTACCTAACACTTTGAAAATTGGTCTATCTTGGAACCGGTTCACGCTAATGAAACAGAACACCAGTATTATAACGTAGATTTGTATACCTTGTTCCCTTTGCTCTATGTTTCATTTCCTCTTGGTTTGAGTTATTCTGGTCAGAAGATGGCTTTAAACGGAGCTGATACAGAAAACCGCAGGAAACCTGAACAGCATTGTTAGGCATCCCCCCCTCGCTTTCCTGCGAGAAGGCTGAGGCGGCTTCGCTTCCACGCTGCGTGTTTCTACAGGGGGGAAATATAGAGTGTCGAGCCTCTTGGATGTTTGGGTTCAGCCCGTAACGATGTGAGTGAGAGCGCGGCTGCAGCACCTACACAAGGCCTTACCTGTTCTGCCCCACGCCGTAGAAAAGGGCAGGCTTTTCCCCTTGTTGGTTTATTCTTAAAGGAATGCGGTATCCCCTCTGACTCAGGCTAAACTCCCGAAAATATAAACCTGCTTACCAGCAGGTCATGGAAAGAGCAGCCCGGGTTGGACGTGCTTTTTAAGCAATTCTGATTATTTATCAGGTAACACACACTGTAATTTAAGTGAAGACATAGAAGGCTAGGATTCTACTCAATCTTTTTGAGAGAGAAGGTGATGCAAGATTAGTAAAGGAGCATCAAACAGCGAGCTCTGGCTGTGATCAATAGCCTGGCAGCAGATCAGTAGGGCTGTCTGTCTGAAGGGATAAACACACCGTGTTACAACGTGTCTTCAGACGTTGGTGTTAGCGCTCTCCTTCTCACAAGTTGTAATCATCCCAAAAAAACCTTTTTGCATTTTCAAATGAAGAGTTTGGTTTGTAGAATGTCACAGAATAAGGACAGTGGGGTTTGTAGTTACTTCTGTGAAAG